AAGCCCCACCACTCTTCCCTGCCTATGCAGGGGGTCGGACTCGATGATCTATTGAGGTCCCTTCCGACCCTAACATCTATGAATCGAGGGCCACATGACAGGCAGCCAGGGGCAGATTAATATTAATTTTCTAAATTTTTTAGGGGCCCTGCAAGCTGGATAGAATGGCCTGGTGGGCCGCATGCGGCCTGCGGGCCACATTTTGCCCACCCTGGTCTAAGGGCATGCAGCGCAATGAAGCCTCAATCGCAGCTGAAGGGCTCCTGACATACTGCTTCTAATGAGAGCAGAAAGCCTACACATCTGATGCCTTGTTCAGCGGTGACACTGCATTGTAAGTCCAGGGGTCTGAGTGTATTGCTCCATCCCACTCATCTCACACAAGCCATGTGTCCCCAACATGTGCTATTGGGGGCATGTGAATGTGTGGAGGGCAGTGCTGGCAGGTCAGTGGGCTGCTTACATTTCACTTCCAGAGAACTGGCCTGAGCTGTAGTTTAGATCCCATGTGAAATGAGTTTGAAGGTCTTGGACGCTAGTGGCTCTCTGACACCTATCTGCTTCCAGAGCAATGCACAATGCCATGCTGTTGCCACAGGCTGCAGTGGCAGACGTTGTAGGTGGGGATTGAGGGACATCAACACATCTGAATGTGTGAGATCCCTAGGGCTGGGATCTCAGGGGCTGTTTGTCGGGAATGAAGAGCGTTGGCATCTCTAGCCAGCTCTGACATTCATTGGTTTCAGCATCGTGGCCTGCTGTCCTTTCCCCTTGCAATCCCTCCCTCTGGCTCTTTGCCTGGACTCTCTCTGGGATTGGTCCTGGTATGGAGCCCTCCTCTGTGGCCCAAGGGAAGTGCCTCCAACAAAAAAACCAAAAACCCTGTTAGCGTTAGTAAAACACATGTGTGACCCTGGTGCTTGTGTCACTGGCTTAATTTAGTCCCGAGAAGACACTAATTTGTGCCTGGCGGGAAAGGTTTGCGTCTCCCCCCTGCGGTTCCTTACCCAGGGGCACACATGACATGTAATTAACAGCGGTGTCATTGACGTGCCTTGGGGCTTAATCACAGCGGCCTCGTGAACTCTCCTGGTGCCGGCTGTGTGCGAGGGCAGCCGCCTCTGCCAGAACTCTGCTGGTGTGAGCAAGAAATTAGCAGCTTAAGAGACAGAGGCATCTGCCCCCTCATGGAGCATCTCTCTGCCCCCTTTCTCTATCCCCCTGATCCACTCTTCCCTTCTCCTTTCTCGCTCTTGTCTTTCCTTCCGTCTTGAAAAGGTGGGCTGGAGCTGTCAGCTTATCTACTATCCGTACTGGCTTCCCTAATTATGAGTGTAGAGAGAGGTAGTTAGCTGTGTTAGTCTGAAGGTAGTCTGAACTGTGCTTCAATGAGGATTGCTGAATTGTTATTTCCTGTCCTATCATTAGGGGAGAGGAGTAGGAGGCACAGCAGTGGTGGTACCTTATAGACTCACTCAAGGCTGCCCTGCCTTTTGCCTGCCTTCCCTAGTGATGGGACAGGAAATAGTAATTCAGCTCTCCAGGGTAAAGCACAGTTCTAGGGAAGCCCAGAGCTGGTGGTTCCCAGGCTCCTGGTATCTCCCAGGCTGCCTTCTGTACCATCCCAGGGATTCTGGCTTCAGCTCACTGCTGTCTCTCTCTCTCTCTCTCTCTCTCTCTCTCTCTCTCTCCTTGCAGTTTGGCCGGACTGAGGTCATTGACAACACCCTCAACCCTGACTTTGTGCGCAAGTTCATCCTGGATTACTTCTTCGAAGAGAAACAGAATCTGCGCTTCGATCTGTGAGTGATGTGATCCCAGGTTGTGGGGCGACAGTGGGAGGCCTTTAAGGGAAAAGAGCAAAGGCTGCATCTCAGGAGAGACCCGACAACAACAAATCAATGTTTGTCCGTGGTAAAGAGATCCTCCTGGGACATGTCAGCTCATGTGCAGACCCTGGCTAGAGTTTTCCAAAGGGTACAAAACACTTGAATCCCATGAATAGTCAGTGCGGGGGAGCCTAGATCCCTTTGAAATCCCATCCCCACTAATTCACCGACTGGTGTGTGGGCTAAATTCACAGACCTCATGTTTCTGAGGTATCCCACACAAACAAGCCGGTGAGAATAACCAACCATTTTTGCTTGTTAGAGACCCTACAACAGTGGTTCTCAACCTTTTTATACTCGAGGCGCCCCTCTATAGAGTCAAGGCCCCTCTCAGAAAATGCCAGCTCTCAGTTGCCACTCTGTTTCTGACTTCAGAAAAATACTAGAGCAATTCTCCTGTTGCAAATAACTCAGGAAGCCCACTACAGGTCAGCATGTTTTAACACTATGGATTTGAAAACTCTGGGTTTATCTTGCAAATCATGTTTGCACACTGGACAGCACTGACTTTGTGTGGCAACCCGTGCCACCCTCGAAAGGGTCTCAAGGCACCCTTGTTGAGAATCACTGCCCTGCAAGAATAACACACTGGTGTAAGCACACCCCAGGGTTCGTGAGACCCTACAACAGCAAACTAGTGTGTTCCACCAAGACCCAGGGGAAAGACATTCAGGAATGTGGATTCAGTCCCACTCTTCCAGACAGCCTGAACTTGGTTGGCTCCAGCGGGGGTGGCAGCCCAGGCATGATCTTGTCCAGTGACAGTCCTTTAACGTCATCTAAATAACCCCCAGAGCTGAGCACCCAGGACAGGACCAGGTCCCACTCAGTCACACAGGTCACAGGCTATGATCGTGCACTTGGTGTGGCTCAGAGCCCATTCGTACTCTTGCTGTCTAGCCCTCTGACTGCACTAACTAGACCTGCCCTTGCCCTGCTTTCCAGCCCCTGCTCCTGCAGGGAAATCTGCACAGTCTTGCTCCGCTCCTTTTGGCTCAACCGATCTGCTCCTTGGATGATACAAGTAGCTGTAGAGGGGCTAGCTCCAGGAAAGGGCTTGGACAACACTGTCTGACTGCCTGGGAGATGTTAGTGATGCTTGTGCCTTGTGCTGGCTTTCTGTTTGAGGGGAACATTTCTCTGTGTATATCTCAAGCAGATCTTTCATCTTCTGGGCCTGAAATAGGTTTCAATTGCTCTTCCTTCCTGTTAGCCCTGAAATGCAGTCTGACCGCAAGGCAGGATGCTGGCATTTGTTCTGGCCTACATACCATGGAAACGGATGCTATTTAAGGTCCACTTGGAGCCCTCATTCTGCTTTCGGCTTTGTTTGTGCCATTCCATAGAGGGTCCTAGGCTGTAAAGGAGTCTGATGCGGCAAGATGTGGCGCTACAGTCTTTATCATACTGGTGGTAGTGCATGAGCCAGACTGACAGATGTTGAATTTTTCCCAAGGCAAAACCTTTTATCTTGGGGTCCTACAAAGGGATAGCCCTTCTGTCCCATGTTAAGTACCTGTAAAGTATCTGAATTAACACTTTGCCTGGGGACAGTCATGGCTAATTCAAGTTAATAACCATTCAAACTTCCTGTATAAAACAGGGAGAGACCTTTAATGTGAGTAAAATCATCTTCAAACTAAACTTTAGCCTGAGGCTACCAGAACCTCTGGGAGGTAGGGAGGAATTGTGCTGGAAGACGGAGCTTAGGAGGGCTTGTGTTCAGGAGTGGCAGGTGCAGAGACCATCTCTTTACTTGCAAGCTGGCCATATTTGATCCTATAAAGATAGGATTGTGTTGCTCTCCTAGCCAGTAAGCCCAGCGCCACATGTTGACTGACACGCTCTGGCTCAGAAGGTGCAATGTGGCAGTGATGAAGAATGTCATGAACCTCCTGGATGGGAGGCACCAGGGCGATGTGTAATATGGCTTCTCTTTTATCTTCTCTGCAGGTATGATGTGGATTCCAAAAGTCCTGACTTATCGAAGCATGTGAGTGTCTTCCCTGCTCCCCCCAGAGTGATCCACTTCTGCACCCAGTACTCCTGTACCAGCCCCCACCCCATTACCTCACTGGGGAACACAGCAGCTGCCTTGCGCTTCTAGCTGAGCCCACCTGTGGTGACACTGGCTCCACAACCTGCCAGCAGCCTGCTGTGGCGATGGCAGGAGAGTTTGGCAATGGGATATGGTGTCATCTTCCTTTCACCAGTATTTCCAGCATCATGGTGATGCAAGGCTTCATGCCTGGGAGTTGTCCAATGACACTGGTGAGAAGTGAATTTGATAGGTCTCAGCCTAGACAGGCAGGCCAGGTAGGTGTCCTCATCACCAGAGCCACCATGCTGATTATTATCCTTACTCTCAGCTTGGTGGAGGGACTGAGGGTTGACTGGGTCACGGAGACTAAATTCCCTTTTTACTTTCTATGTGGGTTAGGAGTGGGGACACCGATGCCTTGGATGAACCAGGAGGCCAAGGATGGACGTGGGTCTCCTTAGGGGTATCGTATAAGAGCGACCATGCCGAGGCAGGCTTTGGCTTCCTTTAGGCTATGCCAGCCTGGAGCTAGTCATGCTGTGTTTGCCCTTGTCACTACCTGGGCAAAGGTCTTACAGACAGCCTCATCCTTCATCCCAGAGAAGTGCCAACATCTGGAAGACTTTGGAGCCAGAAGGTTGCTTCAGCTGTTGAGCTGATAGAGCTAGTGAGGTCATTCAGACCCACGCTAGGAGAGCTCCCACCTAGACTTGATTAGAGACTCTCCTATCTGGACGTGTACGCAGGGTTTCATGGCAGCTGATAGGATTTGTCCGCCCAATTGCTAGTGACAGCATTGGGAAATCCTGGCCTTAGTGTTTTGTGATATAATCTTTGTGTGGGACAGGAGATGCTGACATGCTGGGGGCGGTGGGACTTCCTAAGATTTCTTATACTTCCTATTTCTCCCCATAATACCCTGCAGTGATTCCATGTTACTTCTGTAGATAAATCACAATTTTCAAAGTAAAGATTTCTTATTGGAAACAGCCAGTTTTTTTAGGAGCCAAATACCCAAACTTTCCACGACTGGTCCTACGCTGGAATTTTATGATGAAAAGCCCTGTCAATCGGAACAAATGATAACTCTCCACCCAGGCAAAACTGAAAGATTCTTACACAAGTTAATAGATTTGCTCAGTTTTAACACAATGCAGCCAACATGGGTATATTGAATTACCATCTACCTTCAGGGCGGATCCTCAGGTGGATTGGGTTATAGCAGAGAGCAAAGAAATCATTTGGATACTTGATATTCATCCTGGTCAATTCCTCCAACAGGATTTCCTGGGTCAGGCGTTCTGCACGCTGGGAGAAATCGTTGGCTCTTCGGGAAGCCGCCTGGAGAAGCCGCTGACGTGAGTGATGGCACTGCACAGGGCAAGGGTCATGCGATTGTTGTACTATCAGTGCATGGGCGGGTGGGTTTGGCCTTCCTGACCCCTGGGATCTGCGTGGTTTCAGCTACAGGGTTTGACCAGGAAGGGAGTGAGGTGGCAACTGGACCCAAAGAGCTATCTCTTGACTTACACAGGTTGAAATAAAAGGGAGCAATGAGTTGACTCTAGATTTAGCTGGGGTGAGTGCTGTGGGGATCAGGCCCAGAGCTGAATGGGTCTGTAGGCGCTGAACCAAGTAGGAGATTCATGGCCATTGTGTGCTGCCAGAGAGGGGAAAACAGGCTGCTGTTGCATTTCTCTTGGGTTTCCTACTTGCCTCTTGCTCACTGACATTTTGGAGATGATAAATTATGAGTCAGTAAGTTTCTTTTTTTGCCTCTCCACTGTGGTGATGGAGCTTTGTTGGCTCAGCTCAGTGGAGCTGCAGGAGCTAATAGCACTTATTGACTGAGGGCCAAGCTGTGCACTGTTAAACTGGTGTAAATCCAAGTGAGCTTCACTGCATTCTTCTCCACCACTTACTCTATCACACAAGCAGACTCACACCCTGCTAACCGGACTGCCCAACTGCCCTTGCTGCAGCCCTGAATCCAGCCTCTAGACCTGAGCACTGCACTTCCATGTGCCCACCAAAAGAACCACAGGCAGGAAGTAGTCCTCATAGTCAGGGCACCAGTTTGATGTCCAAGAGAGGCAAGTTCAGTTCCATGCTCTGCCACAGCTCTCCTATGTGGTCTTCGGCAAATCACTTAACCTTGATGTAACTCAAGTTCCTGTGTGTAAATTTTAGGTCTCTTTGGGGGTATATGGTCATTGTGCAAATAAACATATTAGAAACTGATGTGCTTTGGTACAAGATAATGGGAGCCATAGCTCAGTAGATAGGCAACTATTTGCAGTTGATATAATTCCCCAAGGGTCACAAAGACACACCACTTGGGCATCCCCAGACCCTGAAAACAGCTTAGCCATGGGCATAGGAAAAGAATTTGGTATGTGCTCTCTAGTATTTCTTTCTGATGGAGAAAGAAAACTTGGAAGGGATTTGATTTGGTGAATCTGGGTTTTTAATCTCTAAAAATCAGGGCCATCATGTCTTGCTTTTCCCCATTTATCTCAGCGGTTCTTTGGAAGACCTAGAGATGTGGGTTGGAAATTCTAAATCAAAGGAGCAGAGGTGCAAAGCCTTTAACAAAGATAACTTTTCTCCCAAGTTACATGCATGTTCGCAGAAACAGTGTTTTAAGAAGTCTGATCAAATATCCCTTCTTCTCTTAGAGCTTTCATTTCACTGGGAGCTACAGTCTTACAACTAGGTTGTCAGGCAGCCATAGACACCTAGGAAGAGTTGGATAGTGGTAGGCAAGACCTGAATTTCTAATGTTCAAAACAAGGAGGAAAAACCCGTAAGCAAACTTCACAGACTATCTTTACCTGTGATAGGAAATGCCACATTTCCCCCTTACAGGTCACCCTTACAAGTTAATCAGGTAAGTCAGGCACACAGAGTCATTTTTTACTAGGGGGTTTTCAGTCCCTGCACAGCATCTGTAGAGCATTCAAATTCCCATTGACAGACCAAGATGAAAAGGCCTCCGTGGAGCTGTTACTGCTTTGCGTGTCTATCACAGGTCGACTGGGACCTCTGCTTATGTGAATCAGCGCTGTCCCTGTTCATCCCAGGAGGAAAAGAGTGTACTCTGACAATGGAGGCTTTCTAAATCTCAGCAGGAGCAGGCCAGATCCTGAGCCATGTAAACCAGCCCAGTTGTATATTAATTTATCGCTTTTAACAATGAGGCAGCGCCTACAGACAGCCAGTCCGATCTCCTGTGTTTTATGGGTGTCATGCACTGGGGCAAGGGATTTTTTTGGGTCTCATTTCAAAGCTACCGGCAAGCTGTCCAAACTGCTCTCAGTGGGTCAAGTTTCACTCCTGCTAGTGGGAGTGGAGTTAGATCAGTCTCAGAGTTGAGGTCTCCCTGTGACATATGGAGGCTCCATCAGCCTAATTAATAGAGTGGATGCCAAATTCTGCTTCTCT